TGGAAAATGCAATTGAGAAGGCTCAGGATCCATTGCCTTCAGAATCACAGCGAGCAGGGAAAGTAGTGTGTGTGTGTGTGTATGTGTGTGTGTGTGTGTGTGTGTGTGTGTGTGTGTGTGTGTGTGTGTGTGTGACCTCACATGTCTGACTGTTAATGAGAGAAACCTTGGCTCACGAAGCTGGTGTCAATGTACTGAAGAGGTGACCAGGTTTCTTCATGGTCTAGGGCTGCAAGCCAGATGAGGAGGAGCACCGCATACATTTCAGTCTCAGGGGAGCAAGATGGAAAGCTCCTTTGTAAAGCTGGGAAGCCATCCACATCTTCCAGCCCCTCTCTGCTTGAAGTGACTTATTCCTCCTGTAACTTTCTTTTCAAGTTAGAGACACACATGGAAGTGGGGTGCAGAAGAGTGGGACTCAGCTCATCAGAGGGGCTGCCCACACCCACTGAGTCACTCATAACGGCCTCTCGGATGTCATTTTTCTTGCTAAGACATTAGGAAAAATTTCTGCTCCTGAATCACAATCGAACACTATAATTCAACAATCTTCTCTTGAGTTCTTCAAGGAACTTCAATGCATCCGAAGTGGAGGACCAGAAGTGAATAATCAATGAACGCTCTGAGCACTGTTTGCTCTGCATTAAGTTTCATTTGCCAAGTGGGAGTCAGGGCGTTCCATGTGACCCCCGGGGACAGCTCCTGGGAGGGAAGTCTGAAAGTGGCTGATTGGGGGCTTCTGTATGACACTGGTGTTTTCTTATCTTCTTGGTTCCATTCCCATAATAGACCCCAGAGTCATCCAGGAAAAGACTTGTTACAACCATTTTCTTGTGGCCTGCTGATTGTGACAGCCTGGAGGGGAAGGTACTGCCTGGGAAGGGGTGACTGTCCCTGTTTAAGAATCTCTGTGTCTCTGCTTGGCCTCTCACCTTGCATGTTAAAAAGAGCCCCTGCTTCTGCCCTCTGTGCCCCGGAGCAGCATCAGGTGAAGCTGTGCACTTGAATTCAGTCATGGCTAACCTGCCCTTGCCATATGGCTAACCTGCCCTTGCCATATCCCTTCCCAGGGGCCAGAGAATGATTTGCCATTCATCACAGAGGGCTACCCTTCATCTCTTGCCACAGTTCAGGGCTATGGGGTCACTTTCAGCCTGGCAGGAGATCAGACCTGAAGGTGACACTGTCCTCTCTGGGGACACTGCTCGCCTGCATCTTGAACAGGACAGTTCTGTTGGTCTGAGGTGTGGCCATATAATCACCTCTTGACTATGCCAGCAGCACATTGGCAATGGAAAGTTCTCTTCCCCCAAATGGGTGTCTTCATGAACAAGGAGCTGAGATAAGACGCTCGTTTTTGTGTGTGTGTGTGTGTGTGTGTGTGTGTGTGTGTGTGTGTGTGTGTTCCTATCCCTGGCAGTGTGACTCAGTGCTCTGTGCTCTGGACCCTGACCATCAGAGATGGCCAGGAGACTGCATCACAGGTGGTCTCCATTCAGAAAGCTGCACCCCGTTATCCATGAACACCCACCTCTGAGGTGTCAGGGTCCATCTCACTGCACTGAGGTGTTGGGGTTAATCTCACTGCACTAACTTCTCCAAAGAGATCTGTGACTTTGAGACTGTTAATCCCAGCTTTGCAAATCAAGAAATTCTCAGCCACCAGGAAGGAGATGGGTCCCTGTCAGGGGCAGCCCTGGGGACCTGCCAGTCCTCTCCTGCCCAGCATCTACCCCCACCCCAGCCTCCCTACAGCCCAGCATCCAAAGTTGAGCACTGGGCCGAGACTGAGTAAACACTGCTGATGATACAGGAATCAAAGCAAACAAGGCCTCTCTTTTTGCCAACTGCCCCATTAACAGAAAAGCCTTTTAAGGGCCCATCTGGAAGCCAGGCTTTCCCCTCCCTAAGCAAACTGAGATGACCAAGAGGAATGTGTTCAAGAGAGGGCCGCTCTGGGGGGACCCAAGTACACTGGGGCCTGGTCATACAGTGAAGAATGAAGACAGGGAAATCAAAAAGCGTTGTTGGAGTCAGTCCTGAGGTCTACACAGCAAGGCAGCATGCAGCCACACGGGTCCCTTTCAAGACTCCTGTGCAGAGGCCAGGGCCACCATGGACATGGCTTCCCACAACAGCTCACTGTGGCTGGCTGTTCCCCGCCCAGCTGTGCCTGTCAGCCAAGGTTCTTGGAACACTTTCTACTTTCAACTTAGACCACCTCTGGGGGGGGGGGGGGGGGGGGGGGGGGCGGGGGAGGGGGGGGAGGAAAGCGTCCTTGAGCACTGTGTCCCTATACACCATTACAAGGACACACTCCTGAATGAACACATTATGGGCTTTATGGAAATCTGCTTTTCTGAGCCGGGTTGCTCAAACTCACCCAGCTGTTCCTGATCACTTGACAAACACTGCTGAGGCCCTGTTGTGCATCGGATACTTTAGGGTCTCAAAGCTGATATGAGACCAGCAACCCCTGGTTGATCAGGAGATAAGGCATGCATTTGAGTAATTAGCAAACAACTGCCCATGACCATTGCACACTTCTGCGTTCTGATCCTAAGGATGTGAGGGGCTTCGAGGGCAAGGCAGTTTCCTCTGAGCCATCAGGGTCCCAAAGGCAAGGGGGCCATTAACAGTGAAGTAAGAGGGAGGCTAGAGGGTGTGCTGGCTTCTGAATTGACCTTCCCAGTGCACTTTTTAGATTAATTATATTTTATAGATTGATTTTGTGTTGGAGGACACATGCCACAGTGCATGTGGACATCAGAGGACAATTTGTGGGAGCTGGCTCTCTCCTTCTAGCACATGAGGCCTTGGGGATTGAGTTCAATTTTCAATCTTGATGGATGGTGCCTTCACCTGCTCATCTATCTCCCTGGTTCTTATTCCTTTTGAGACAGGACTTCACTATGTGGCCTAGGCTGCTCGGCCTCTAACTTGTGGTAATCCTCCTGTTTCAGCTTCCCCGGTTGATGGGATGACAGGTGTGTGTGTGTGCCAACACGCCAAACTTGTATGTATTTTTCTTCATTTCCCCCCTTCTATGTGTATATGGATGGGGGGTACATGTGTGTATATGCTTGTGTTCCTGTGTGTGGGTGCACATATGTGTACATGCTTGTGGAGGCCTGATTTTAATATCAGGAATATTTCTCTATTGTTGTTCTATCTTATTCTTTGAGGCATGGTCTCTCAGTCTAACCCAGAGCTTACCAGTAAAGCTGGTCTTCCTCTCCAGCTTGCTCTGGAATCCCTAGCTCTTCCTTTCAAAGCTGGAATTACAATTGGGTTTCCACACCCACCTAACACTTGCCATGAGTTCTGAGGATATGACCTCTGGTCCTCTCAGGTACACAAGCTCTTTAACTACTGAGCCATCTCCCATTCCCCTATAGTTGTTAATGTGTAAAAGATGCTGAGAAACACATAGAAGTGTTCACCTCCCAAGTTTGTACATTCTCCTTATCTTGGGAGGCAGATGGTTGGGGCCGGAACATCTGGAAAACGTGTGGTCATTCCGACCATGAAGTAGCCTCCAAAGCTGCAGAAGTGAGGCCTGCACTGACTTTGCAGAGAGGCCTCTCTTCAGTAGCATCTTGACGGATTTGCTCAGTGTCCCCTACACATTGTCACTTCTGTGGTCAGCTTCGTACCTGCGACCCAGCGGATGGTCTCCTGCCGTTCGTGGACCACGACACCTCAGCCAGAGTCAAGACACAGAATGCTCCACCCAATATTCATAGTCCACATTTGAATTTTGTTGGCAACCCCAAGTTCTCCCATGACAGCAGCTCCGTCTCTAGCTGTGGAATCCCACTGGGATTGGGGTCCAAAAGTAGGTGCCTTGGTCAGAAGGAAGAACTGTGCACTTGGCCTGGCCCTCTGGAGACAAGGTCTTTCACAGAGTTTCTCTTTGGTTTAGAGCCCAGGCCTTTCCACAGGCTGATTCCAGCTGGCTCTTCTCCTGTCTCTCCTTTCTTAGTCATCTCTGTGCATTGGGGGCTCCATTGAGACTGAAGAAAGTTCCTTGGAGACAGCCCCTGCAGTCCCTTGGGAAATAGTGTCAGGGTTTGTCCCCTTCAATGTCACTGGCCTAATGTACTTCCGGCCTTAAATCCAGCTTTTGGCTCCCTTGGGTCCATATCCTATGAGATGGCCTCTCTGCCCTGTCACATCATCAGGTTTCTGAGGCTCAATCTCTGAAAAAGGGGCTAGAGGAGATTTTGAGAACAGGTAGCCCAGGCTGGCCTTGAATTCACTATGTAGCCAAGAATGATCTTGAACTTCTGATCCTCCTGCCTCCACTTCCATGTACTAGGATTACAGAGATGCACCATAACCCCTGGTTTATGCAGGGCTAGGGATCCAACCCAGAGCTTTATGTACACTAGGCAAACATTCTACCAAACTGAACCATAGCCCCAGCTCTGAATTTTCTCTCTTAATAGTGATATTTTTCTGTTTAAAATATTTACTTTATTCTTAACTATGTATATATGTGTATGTGTCTGGGGAAAAGGGATATGTGCATGTCCCCAAGGCCATCTCAGTGCTGAGGCTGTTTCCCAAATTGTTCTGTAGGTCACATGGCTGAAAATAGGACAAGTCACGGATAGGCAAAATGGTGACTTGGGTAGGGAAAGCCCTTTTGGGGTGGGTCCCAGTTGCCCCCTTCAGCCATAACCCATGGATGTATGTCAGTGTCACCACCATAGCCCAAGGCTGTTGAGATCAGGTCTATGAGAGGGGCCTCAGTCCGACTCATATCTAGGAAATGACTGGGCGGAGTTCAGGACAGACAAGCACCCCTCTTACCATGACTGTGGAAAACAGGGAAGGCCTGGGGTGGGGCCTTCAGCCAGACACACCCTTAAGCCTATTGGGAGAGCAGTTGGGTGGGCTGGTCCCACCAGGGCCAAGAAAGAAACTGCACCCAGCTCACACTGACAATCCAGACTCTCCCAGACTCTGAGACCTGACTAACCATCAAGGCTAGGATGCGGGAAATCGTGCACATCCAGATTGGCCAGTGTGGCAACCAAATTGGATCCAAGGTAGGTAAGACCAGAGCAGTTTGCCACAGGTTGCTGCCAAACCGACAGATGCCCAGGTTCCCAGGAGGAGGAGGGCCTTGCAGGTTTGCAAATACTTGCTAAATAGACAGCTTATTAGACAAGGTCTTTTAGCAAAACCATTAGAGTTAGAGTGTTAATTAATGTTAATTTTGCCTGTAATTATATGTGTAAATGGGTACGGGAGCCATTTTGCTTTTAGCATTTTAGAAATGAGCTTTCCACATCTAAAACCAGTAATTTGTTTAAAGAGTTTTCTGAAGCTTTTTGGGAATTTTTCTTAATTTAAATTGTATATATTATAATTTGTGGTGTGGGGGGGTGGGGGTATGTGGGTGTGTGTGTGGTGTGTGTGTGTATGCTGTATATGTGGTGTGTGTGTGTGTGTGTGTGTGTGCGTGTGTGTGTGTGTGTGTGTGTATGTGCAGGCACGATGTCCCAGCATGCATGTGGATGTCAGAGGACAGTCTTCTCAGTTGCTCCTCTCCTTCCACTGTGGCCGCAAGATCGAACTCAGGTCATTAGGTTTGACAACAAGCTCCTTTACCTGGTGAGCCATCTACAAAGCAGTACTTACAAATATTCTTTTTGGGGGGCTGGTGAGATGGCTCAGCAGTTGAGAGCACTGGCTACTCTCTCAGAGGACCCAGGTTCAATTCCCAGCACCCACATGGCAGCTCACAACTGTCTGTAACTCTAGTTCCAGGGGTTCTGACACCTTCATACAGACACACATGCAAGCAAAACACTAATAAACATAAAATAAGAATAAATGAATCTCTAAAAGATGCTTAAAAATGTTTTTTTTTTAATTGTGTATTTGGGAGGGTGGGTGCATGCTACTGTGCACTAGTAATGACCAGAGCACAACCTGCTGGAGCCGCTTCTTTCCTTTCCATCCAGGGTTGACCTCGGGTCGTTAAGCTTGGTGGCAAGGGTCTACAGTGCTGAGCCATCTTGCCAGCCTTACTTGAAGGATTTTTGTGTTTTGGGTTCTTTTGTTAATACCTGAGCACTCCAGAGCCTTCCACCTCCCAAACATTCTTTTTAAAATCTATTCTTCGGCAATTTTAAAATTTAATCAATCAATTAATTAATTTGGTTGTTCAAGACAGAGTTTCTCTGTGTAGTCCTGGCTGTCCTGGAACTAGCTCTGTAGACCAGGCTGGCCTTGAACTCAGAGATCCACCTGCCTGAGTGCTGGGGTTAAAGGCGTGTGCCACCACTGCCTGGATTATTCTTGGGCAATTTTATACATGTATATATTGACCAGATCCACCCTTACCTCCCTCCTACCACTACCCCTGGACACTCTACATCCGTCTCCTACTCTCTCTCTCTCTCTCTCTCTCTCTCTCTCTCTCTCTCTCTCTCTCTCTCACACACACACACACACACACACACACACACACACACGAGTCTTACAACTCACTGAGTCCAATCAGTGCTACCTGTTGGGCTACTAACGAATCTTAGCTTGATGTCGTACAGGTAGTCACAGATTCTGTGAATTTGAGTGCAATGGTCATCCAGTGTCTGGAAGACATTTCCCAGTATCCTTCGCCACCCTCTGGCTCTTACATTCTTTCTGCCCCTTCTTCCTCAATGTTCCCTGAGCTGTGGTGGGTAGGGTGCATGCTTGTATCACAAAGAACATTTAGTGTGCAATAGAAAGTTACAGAGCTAATCACTTCTCTCAGGCACAGAGAAAAGTGATTAAAGCACTCTGCTCTGTAGGTGAGTTTTCCTCTCAACTCTCTGTCCCTCCTGTTGCAGCTCTGAGAGAGGCTCTTGACTCCTTCCCTAGGGACACCAGGAAGGCAGGCTCTGGAGGTCAGGATTGGCACTCCTAATTTTAAGATCAACAACGGATCTGTAGCACCTGTGGGGAGAGTGCCCAGTGTTACTGTGGAATTACTTTCATGTGTATGAATTATGTGTTTAAAAACACCATCATGAGCCGGGCGGTGGTGGCGCACGCCTTTAATCCCAGCACTCGGGAGGCAGAGCCAGGCGGATCTCTGTGAGTTCGAGGCCAGCCTGGGCTACCAAGTGAGTTCCAGGAGAGGTGCAAAGTTACACAGAGAAACCCTGTCTCGAAAAACCAAAAAAAAAAAAAAAAAAAAAAAAAAAAAAAAACAAAAAAAACACCATCATGAAAGACCTTTGTTCCTTCATAGCAGTATTGCTAACCATAGCCAAAAGGTGGGACCAGGGGCCAGCAAGATGCCTCAGTGGGTAAAGATGCTTGCTGCCAAGCTTAACGACTTGAGTTCAATCCTCAAGCCCCATGTGGTAAAAAGAGAAAACCGATTCTTACAAGCTACACTCTGACCTTCACTTGTGTTCTATGACACAAGTGTGCACCCCACCCACAACACGAACAAATAAATAAATGTAAAAAACACATTGTAAAGGTGGAGAAACCCTGAATATAATAGATGAACCCAGTGCATTTTATTCATTATCCTATTATTTTATTATAGTGAAACATTATGCAGCTTTAAAAAGAAATTCAAAAGCTTTTGGTGTGGTAAGATGCATGTTGTGAAAATTTTCCTTCTTTGTCATTTTTTTGTATGCAAATTAGGTTGTATTGAGTATGCTGTGTACCCACTTTCAAAATACCTTTCAACTTATAAAATGGAAACTCTGCCCTGTTGAAACTTGACTTCATTCTTCTCTCAGTCCCTTCCCTGACAACTGCTATTCCACTTCAGGTCTTTGTGTGTCTGCCCTTCTAGATGGACACCTTGAGTAGATCCATGTGATAGCAGGGTTGGGGTCCTCTTCATTTTGAGCTGAGCGATACCCTACCATGAGTATGGACCACATAGTGTTTAACCAAGGGGTGGGCTTCTACTGTAAGGAACACAGCTGTGAAAAAGTGAAGAAGGTCCTTTCAGTTTTTCTAATTCTTTTTATCTACCTTTGCATTTTCATTCAGATCTATATTGTATCCTGAGTATCTTCCTCCACCCCACCCCCCATTTACCCCTTTTCTTCCCCAGGCCAGTTTTACATCTACTTTTATCTTATGTATACATGCATGATTTTATATGACTATATGAACTCCAGGACACACACATAACAGAAAACATGTAAGATTTGTCTTTGGAGACCAGCTTAGTCTTCTTAATACAATGGTCTCCAGTTTCAACCATTTTCCAAAAAAATGACAAAACTTTGTTCTTTGTGGTTGAAAAAAAAAAATCCCACTGTGTATAATTACATTTCCTTTATCTAATACTTTACTCAGGGGATGGCAGGTGGATTTTATTTCTTAGCTGCTGTGAACAATGCCACAGTCTACAAGGATGCACAAGTATCTCTGTGCTGTGTTGACTTGGAGGCCTTCGGGTGAAGGAACACCCAGGAAAGTTAAAGCTGGGTTGCCTTTAACTGAAGGTCTTCGAGCTCTGGGGCAAACATTATCACTACCTGACAAACATCAGTCATCTCACATGCCACAGGAATCAGACCTTCATAACCAACAGAGAAGTGCACTGGGGAGGGGTCAGGGAGACTGCTCTGACCTTAGATGATAAGATGGAGAGAGGCCCCAGGGAGGAAGTGCAGGGAAGGACAGGGGATCATCAGCTGGAGCTGCCTTGGGATTGTGCCATCTGGTGGCTGGAGTCTCGGCCATGACTTCTTGTGGGGCCCGTAGAAAGAGCGTTAAGAAACATTTTAGGCTGAAGAGCCGGCTTAACTGGTAAAGTTTTTGCCATGGAAACAAGAAGACGGAGTTTAGATCCCAAACACCCATGTTGAGAACCACACGTGTAATCCCAGGCTCTGGGGAGGCAGAGGCAGGCAGCTCCTCGGAGCTTTCGAGTCTGATCAAAATCGATGAGCTCTGATCAGTGAACAGCCCTGTCTTCAAGAGTAAGGTGAAGGGTGAGCGAACCACCAGACCTTGGCCTCTGGTCTCCACACACATACATGCAAGTGTATGTACACCAGCAGGCACATGTGCACACCATCGTGAACATATATACACAATGCCAAGACACATTTCGCCTGCACCATCTCAGAACTTCTTTGTGCTTACTCTTCTAGTCTTCAAAGCCCATTATAGCACTGCACTGTTTTATTAAGAGTGTGGCTGGGGCAGAGGTGCCGCTTACAAAGTAGGCTTGGGAAAATACCTTGGAGATTTTGACTCAAGGGAAGGTATTTTTATTGCACTTTAATATATGAGAGTTTTCCAGAATGGTCTAATGAAATCATCCCAGTAGATCCTCTGTGTTAATAAATGCTGTGGGCCAGCAAGATGGTCCAGTAGGTAAAGGTGCTTGCCACCAAGCCTGATGGCCTGAGTTACATCCCGGGGCCCACATGATAGAGAAAACTGACTACCACTGATTGCTTTTGCACACATTAACAAACATGCATGCACACATGAATGAATGAATAAATAAAAGGAATAAAATGATTTTCTCATCAGGGTATGATGGCGCACTTAGGAGACAGAGGCAGGCAGATCTCTGTGAGTTTGAGGCCAGTCTGGTCTATATAGTAATCTCAAATGCTGTATGCATGATTGGGAGAATAGAATATCCCAAATAGTTCCAAGACATCAGCTAAGCATAATTCTGAATTGTGATTATGTCTGATGGTCAAAACACACATTATGTCAGGTTGTGCAGGAGGGCCCTGGGTATGGACTTCTAAGGTGAAGTTCATGGGGGAAAAAAAATCCCCAAGTGAAAGGAGATACCATTGTGAAATCAAATAAGAATTCAGCTTATTTTCTTTTTCCTGGGATCAGCACTTCTCCAGCTCAGGCCAAAGCAAGGTGAAATTTGAGCTCCCTCATCTGAAGTGAGATTCTAAAAGGACCAGCTGTAACGCACCAGGGTTAATAGCAAAATCCAATTTAATGTTTTCTGTGTTTGACATTCCGCTTCAGGAGCTCAGATGGTCTAAAGCACAGTCTTCATAGTCACACTTAGCGGAGGCAAGAAGAGGAAGAACAAGAAGGAAGTGTTGGGCAGGGTCAGGCAGCCTCCAGGGCAGCAACATCCTCACAGGAGCCATCCCACTCTTTCTATTACATTTTTCTTATTACATCTACTTATTTATTCATTTATTTATTTGTGTGTGTGTGTGTGTGTGTGTGTGTGTGTGTGTGTGTGTGTGTGCATGCAAGAGAGAGTACACATGCCATGTGTGCATGTGGTGGTCAGAGGACAATTTGTGGTAGTTAGTTCTCACTTTCCAGCAGGTGGGGACCCAGGGATTGAACTCAGGCCATCAGGCTTGGTGGCAAGCCCCTTTCCTGGCTGAGTTGCTGAGTCGCCCCAATGGCTCTTCCTTCCCCAGGTCTCTGAACTGATTTCTCTCCTTCTGCCCACAGTTCTGGGAGGTGATCGGAGAAGAACATGGGATTGACTGTGCTGGGAGCGACCGCGGGGCTTCTGCTCTGCAACTGGAGAGAATCAGCGTGTACTACAACGAAGCCTACGGTAGGCTGGCTGCTGGGTTAGCAGAGGCCTACCATCTGGCGAGCATGGGCAGAGAAAACGACCCAAGTGTGAAAGAGTGAAGTCTCAACATGGAACTGGCAGAAAGGCAGGGCTGCAGAGTCTAGATAGCAGGTGCCCCACTCCAGTGCAAGGGGCAGAAGGGAATGCCATCACCAATGCTAGCCAGCCATTCCCCACGGGAAGGGTGACAATCCATGCTCTTGGTGAGATAATGAACCAAACACACAGTAATGAGAGAAGTGGAGTTTTCAAAAGGTATCTTAACAGATTTGTGTCATAGTAGTCTGAGTCAGGTATGATCAGGTATAGATATTAAAATGTCTACCTACCAAAGGCCTCCTTCTAGAATACTTATGATTTTTGGATCAGTATCCCAAGGATCCATTTTGAGGAAGCATCACATTTTATTTTATTTTATTTTTTTCAACTCATTTATTTTTTCTTTTTTGGTTTTTCGAGAAAGGGTTTCTTTGTGTAACAGTCCTGGCTGTCCTGGATCTTGCTCTGTGGCCCAGGCTGGCCTTGAACTCATAGAGATCTGCCTGCCTCTGCCTCCCGCCTGCTACCGATGTTTTACAATCTTGCATCTAAGCTGTTAACGCCCAAAATGCAGGATACACAGACAAGGAACTTCCCTTAAGCGTTCAGGAGGGTGAAACCCAGCAGGGAATTAGCATAGGAAGGACATCAAGGTCAAGGTCAGCAAGCAAGGCAACAGCTACCCAAAATGGGGGCCAGGGCCCTACAGGTCCCCCTTTTACTAAAAAATGAGCTTCTGACTTAGGTTGCGTGGGACGTCAGCAGGTCACCTTACATGTCATGGAGACACCTGCCCAGGCCACACAGGCGGTCTGTCTTAGGTTGGTGAGCACCCCCCAGGCATTACCCATCTCTGAATACTCATTATCATATAGGCTCAATCGTGTGTGAGTTGCAGAGTTAACTGCTGCCAAAGATCTCAAAGTGGCGCTGGGCTTGCAATCTGTGTGTTCGACACAGAAAAGACCAACAGAAGTCCTATCCCATCCATAGCCAGTAGGCTAAAGGCAACTGAGCCATTCCCTTCCTTAATGAGCCTTACTGCAAATTGGAGTCCTTAAAAGATGGTATCCCAAAAGCAAATGGAACTTGAGTTTATAAATTTATAACTTTCAAAGCCAATCGAGATGTATATAACTACTGAATTAAATGTATCATGCCCAACAGAATGAAAAATTAACTAACTGTGGTAGCTACTTTTGCTGCCAGGGTCTCCATTGTGCTAGCTGTAGTAAGCAATTATGAAATGGCAACCCCAGAAACAGTAGCAATGGTGACCGCCACTGCTATAACAGCAACAATGGCAGCAGCAATGTCAAATTCTCTTCTGGAGTGTGTGAGCATCCACTGGCATGGACACAACTCCAGGAACATGAACCACCAAGGCCCATTTTTCTTGATCCCAGCATGACTTAAGTTGGCAGCTCTGCAAAAGAACAACTAAGAACCATAAAGAAAAAACAGGCAGCTCACAAGGAACAGAACTAATGGTCTCATAATAGCTACATTCAGGCTCACAAATTTTAAGGTATCTTCAAAGGGGACTAAATGAATTTCAGGAGGCCAATAAATGTTGCACAGAGCCACTCCTGAAAAGTAGGTACTACACCAGCTTGAAGAGGATTGTGAAAATGAAAAGGCTTAGCTGGCATGCTGCTGTTAACAAATGGAGGTCAGTGACTTTCAGGGTTATCCTTAATCTCCAAGGTGTCTGGGTGACACGTTCTCAAACATACTTGAAAAAACAGTTACCATGCATTACCTTCTGGAAAATCCAATCGCATGGCTACAGTTCCTAGGCTTATGTTAATGCTTGCCAAAGCTGGCCATATTGGGCTCTCAATCCCCATTGGCATCAGAAGGGGAGAGTTTTTCACAAGGCCCAATAGGTCTCTGCCATGTTGGGCTTCAGCAGCAGCCACAGGGCGTACGCAGCACTCAGGAACCCAAAGAGGAACCTCATTGTCCTGAGGGAAGACAAACAGAATCCCAGGCACACACCAACCCCAGATCGAGTCCCCTCCAACTGCCAGTAGAAAGATCCTTCCATTGCTCCAGAGGGTGATTTGCAACAGGAGCCCTCCAGTGCTTATCTGCAGCAGATACTCCAGCAGAATCAACTGATAAAAAAATTAAAATATATAAAACAAGGGAAAGAATAGAATGTGGAGAGGAATGAGAAGCATCACATTTTAGAAAAACAATAATATGCAGCCAGTGGTGGCACATGCCTTTAATCCCAGCACTCAGGAGGCAGAGGATGGTGGATCTCTCTGAATTCGAGGCCAGTCTGATCTACAGAGTGAGTTCCAGGACAGCCAGGACTGTTTCACAGAGAAACCCTGTTTTGAAAAACCAAACAACCAACCAAACAACCCCCCCTCAACCCCCACAACCATATGCTGAGTCCTTCCTATTAATCTGCACAGGTAAGAAGTATGTGCCCCGAGCTGTCCTTGTGGACCTGGAACCCGGGACGATGGACAGCATCCGATCCAGCAGATTAGGAGCTCTCTTTCAGCCTGACAGTTTTGTTCATGGTAGGTTTTTTTTCCAGAAGCTTCCACCAGGAAGAGCTGAGGATGCCTTCTGGTGGTACTCTGCTCACCCCACCTTTCCCCCTCCCATCCTTCTCCTGGTCACAGGTAACTCAGGAGCTGGTAACAACTGGGCCAAGGGTCACTACACAGAGGGAGCAGAGCTGATCGAGAATGTCATGGATGTGGTGAGGAGGGAGAGTGAGAGCTGCGACTGCCTACAGGGTTTCCAGATCGTGCACTCTCTGGGTGGGGGCACTGGCTCAGGCATGGGCACCTTGCTCATGAACAAGATCAGAGAGGAATACCCAGATCGGATCCTGAATTCCTTTAGCGTCATGCCATCCCCCAAGGTGTCGGACACGGTGGTAGAGCCCTACAACGCTGTGCTGTCCATTCACCAGCTGATTGAGAACACAGATGCCTGTTTCTGCATCGACAATGAGGCACTCTATGACATTTGCTTCCGCACCCTGAGGCTGACGACACCCACCTATGGGGATCTCAACCACCTGGTGTCCTTGACCATGAGTGGCATCACTACCTCCCTTCGCTTTCCTGGCCAGCTCAATGCAGACCTGCGCAAGCTGGCAGTGAATATGGTGCCCTTTCCTCGTCTTCATTTCTTCATGCCTGGCTTCGCTCCACTCACGGCCCAGGGTAGCCAGCAGTACCGAGCCCTCTCAGTGGCTGAGCTCACCCAACAGATGTTTGATGCCCGCAACATCATGGCTGCCTGTGACCCTCGCCGTGGTCGCTACCTGACTGTGGCCTGCATCTTCAGGGGTAAGATGTCCACTAAGGAAGTGGACCAACAGCTGCTGTCCGTGCAGACAAGGAACAGCAACTGCTTCGTGGAATGGATTCCCAACAATGTCAAGGTGGCCGTGTGTGACATCCCACCCCGGGGGCTGAACATGGCAGCCACCTTCCTAGGTAACAATACAGCTATCCAAGAGCTCTTCACCAGGGTCTCCGAGCACTTCTCAGCCATGTTCAGAAGGAGAGCCTTTGTGCACTGGTACACCAGCGAAGGGATGGACGTAAGTGAATTTGGGGAAGCTGAGGGTGACATCCACGACCTGGTGTCTGAGTACCAACAATTTCAAGATGTCAAAGCAGAGCTGGAGGGAGGTGAAGAGGACAGGGAAGAGGAGGCAGAAACAGAGACAGAAGATAAAGAACATTAGCCAGGAGAGAAGCTATAGGGCAGCCATTTTTCAGAAATTTCTCCAAAGATTTGTGGCTGTCCTGAAGTCCTTGGCACAACCAAGGGGGAGGATTACAGGCATATGTGGTGGTGATGGTTGGGAGTGGCAGGGCCTTTACTCACAGTTACTAGCCAGGGCTCGACAGCCATTGCATGATTTTCTTCTTCTTTTTAAATAGCAAGTGAATCTACTGTCGTGAGCCCCATTTACTTCTCACTAACTGTAGGTAGACATCCAGATGAAGTGTGTGAGTCTGCCAGGAGCCCTTTGCAGCTGATGGCCCCTCTTCAACCCTTTAGCAGCACTGCTGGGTGCCAATAACTAGAGCATCTAAGATGCCTCACCGAGTCCCTCTTTCACAAAGCCAGCAAAGCCGGGTGTCTGAAGAGTGTGTGGGAGGTTCAGGGCCAAGGGAAGTGTGAGTCCGCCTCCATGATTGCACTGTGTAGACCTTATGTACTAGTCGACAGGCTGACTGGGAAAAGACAAAGGGAAGCAAGAAAAGCCACGTCTCTCCTCTCGGCTCCCACCGTCCAAAAGACCAGCAAAAGCAAAGCATTCCAGTCCTTGGACCTTTGTTTCCCAGGAACTGGCTTCCGACGTATTTCTGTGTTTTAAGGTTCTTATTAGAGCTAGATGCCAGTAATTCACTAATGACTGTCCCTGGTTTCCTCTTAAAGGCTGTTTGTAGACGCCCTTTTCATTTCCCCTCAGCAATCACCCCTGAAGCTCCCGTACAGCCTCTCCATTTTCTGGGAAAGGGCACGAGGCATGCTCAGCAACCATTTGAATGCAGGAATGTAGCCGCAATGCCGCAGTGTCCTCCTTGGTGACAGAGGACATGGTCTCATTAGGGAACTTTTATAGTTCAGATTAATTTGCAGAAGTTGCCATAGACACTTGCAGGATGACACAGCTTTAACCATTGCACGGCTGTAATCTCACATCACAACAGGACTGAGCACACAGGAGCCAAATCACCCACTCGTAACCTCTTGATTATAGTGTGCCTAGGTCTGAGGTGCATGGGGTCTTAACGGTCTGCTGGAATCATCGAGGAGCTCCTTGACCTCTCCAAAGGGAGTTATTTGCATGAAACTGAGTTCTAGTGTCTTAGTTTGTCCCCATGATGCTAGTGATGGAACCCAGGGCCTTGGGGGTATGCTAGACAAGTGTTCTGTCACCAGCTCTAAAGTGGCAGGTGGATGGCACTCTCCTCATATATGCCCTGTGAGGAAATAATTACAATTCATATCTAGAGAAAATCAAGCCCCATTGTTGGTATGACTGACCAGGCTCCTGTTTATATAATCAAAAAAGCACAAAGTATTTTAAATACTTTCCACTTTGGTATGGATGGAGAAGCACTAGCTGTAGTGAGGTATGCACCGCTCCACTCTTCTTTAGATGCTAACAAGGTTAGCTTACAGCCCATGACTCTGCAGGAGTCAGCTGCACGCTTACCTGGATACCTTCATTCTAAACCTCAAAAGGCAGTCACACAGGTGCAAGAAAGACTTAAATTCTTTCTAAATTGTTTTTTAAATTTATGACTGTGAAGACTTGTTCATTAATAATCACTGAAGTGCAAATAAATTCCATTTTAAACAACTAAGTCATTTTACCTCCGATTCCGCAAACTCCTTTCCTTGGAGTCTGACCTCTCAGACTGATGGTCTCACCTCCTAACTGTTCTAATGGCACAAGTAGATTAAACCACCAACTGACTACAAGCCCAGGGACACTTGGTCCCTTCAGTGGTATGGTTGCCATAGTGACATCAGTGTAGCTGAAATCAACAGGAGCCCTAAGATTTCAAAGATCCCTTTGCTCTGTCTCTGACAACACTGGTTAGTAACAGGCCAGTGAGTGTCTGAGGAGAGACACCTCATCGCTTGGCAAGTCGCCCTGTCATCCTGAGGTGCTGAACCTGAGTTTATTTCATCCCAGTGTTGACTCAGTTTTTAATCTTATTAGATCAGAACGAGTTTCAGAATCTTGATGGAAAGTCAATTCTTTTATTTGGTTATTTTAATCCTTATCCCCAAGTCTCATCTCTAGTCACCCCAGTGGCTCCCCTAATAAACCATTTCCCAAACCGGAAATCCCTTAGCCCTTTGCTTATTAGTTAGCCTAGTTATCCATGGCCGTGAGTCAGCTGTTGCCATCCCTGGTAATGGGAGATGCTTCTTGGGACCTTAATCTTGGAGAAGATATGGCTGTAACTTCCTAACAACAGGACTTCAGCCCCAGGCAGATCCCAGGGCAAACCTTTCAGGGCCACTACTGTCCCATTCTATTAATGTCCCTCCTTGAGCAATCTGTGCTGAGAAGCCAATAAAACGCACTGGTGAGGTGTATGGAGGACAGGAAGCAGTCCTCCGAGCCGAGAGCATGTCTTCAACCGCACGTGAGCTGAAGCTTGGATTCCAGTCCTTTCTCTGCTCTTGAGAAGTTACGACATGCAGTCAACTCTGCAGTGGCTCTACTCAGCCAAGCGTATCCACGGAAAACAAAACACTTTGTTCCTGAACACTTAACTAACAAATGAATGGCCATTCAAACATGATCTGACTGCCCTACCCACTGAGCCTAGACTGGCCATTAGGAATCACAGGTTTTAATTGCAGTTCAGCCATCAACACAGGACACAAGGTATTGACCGGCTTTGCCTCATTCCCGGTGAGAAATGCACCCAGAAAATAACTAATAAAAGGTGAAAAGCATTTTGTCTAGATAAATTCTAATGTTAATGGCTCCGCTCTACAGGTTTGTGTGAAGTGAGATGAGTTACACAATTTGTTCCTCTAATGTGTGTTCTAATTGTTTTCATTGGGTTACGGGCTAATCGGAACCACCTACAGCCACTGCTTTAATGTGAATGCAATTCAGAGACTAGAGACACCACAACCTCCATGACAGTGCCAAATTTTCATCCATTACGCCACGACAAACAGAACGTTCACTGTGATACATTTAAACAGTGGTCCTGGTAGTTCACTGGTCATCAGATATTAAGCCCTTTCATCCTTTTAAGAAACTCTGGTTCATATGGTCACACTCATATGACTATGTGGAGAATTCCTATTTAAAAAAAAGTACAACAGAAACAAAACCCAGCAGAGAGTAAACCATGTTAATTTATTGGCATAGTCAATTTATCAACAAGGGTAGTTTTGTCCCCAGGAGGTGAGGTTGATTTCAATCTGCTATAACAGGTACCCACATGTCTTCACCTTGACGATTCAGCAGTTCATGCTTCAGTCAGGGCCTAGGCAGAAAAGAGAAAATGCAACAGTTGCTAGTCTGCAGTGCCTTCTTCACATCCACCATCAACGAGAGAGCCTGCCTGCAGGCACACAGCCTGCAACAGACACACCCTTGAGTTAATCACTTCTACTGTGACAGCTCTGTCCTATAGCCTCCTGCCCTCATGCTGGCGGACTGGGGTCCTCCCTGTTACAAGACATTAAGACAGGGGCCACACTTTGTTTTTAGGAGCCAGACATGCCTTGCTGACCCCGAGCCTCCCACAAAGTCAGGAGTCAGCCACAGACGGGCACAGTGTGACTGCAGGTGAGATGTTCTCAGCTCCCTGTGGAGAAGAAACAGCCCAACATAAATGAAGTTTTACAGGTCCAAAATCTGAGACGAGACAGACCCAAGAAAAGGGGCTCAGTTCAACACATGCACTCCTTGGTTATAATATAATATTTGTAATTCAAGATAAAAATGAAAAGTGCTCAGGGGAGAGTTTCAATCAGGCACACTGCTCCCAGCACAGACTTTGGAGCATGGATGTCATGGGCTGTGCTGCTGCGGGGCGGACACATTTCAAAAGCAAAAGCAAATGAAATCTGAAGAACATCTCTCTGAAAACCTGCCTTGCTTATCTTTGAAATAACAATGTAAATAAAGTAGCTGGGAGATCAAATCAGTCTGGAGCACCACAGTCTGAACTCACGACTGTGCAGAACTGCTTCTTCATGGCAGAGGACTGCAACTTCACATCCCAACACCTCTGCACTGGTAAAATGAGCCAGGCTCTCTGAAAGCATAAGGAACTCAGCAGAACAGGGCTCATCCAGGGCGAGCAGCCCTTCCTGTTTAATAACATGGCAAGACCCTGCTTGCAGGTGTACCCGTATGTTCAGGAAGAAGGGATGTGTGAGGGCAGCAGCAGCCATGGGGGAAGGAGCATGCAGAGAACGGCCATTTCTCAGGCTCCTGACCCGTTACATAACTCCAACAGCAATTACAGTTATTTGATTTTGTGCAGATAGATGAACCAGGTTTAATTAAAATAAGGTGGTTCTCTATCCGAGGATTGCTAACTGCACTGAAAATCAATGTGCCAATTATTCTGCTTGTCAGGGCTGCACAGGGGCTCTTTCATCATGTCAGGCGACATCTAAGACCTGTACACTCCAAATCATCCCTGCAGTAACCAGTGTCCAAAGCCACCAACTGGGAGGCAGAGTCTCAAACTAAAGTGAGTTTTGGTAAGCTCTCAAAACTTGAAGAGGCAACCCCTAACAAAGCAGGGACTCACCGGCTACTCCTTCCTCACTTTCACGATCTTCACGCTGCTGCCGGAAGTCTTCTCAGCGTTTGCTTTGAACTCGGTCTTCAGGGCGTCCCTCACTGCTTTCGCACAGATCTGGGAGAACCGGATGTAGCTAGCAAAGTGAGAGAGGATACGAGGCTTATTACCAACAGCTAGACGGAGGTGTCATGATGTGTGCTATCTTGGATTTCTTCCCATACTCTTAGTTTTGGCTGGTTACTCACTATGGCAAAATTGGATTGAAAACTGGGAAATACCAAAGAATAATCTCTACAAAGGAGACAATCAGAAATGTGCCCCCAGATTAGCTGGTATTTGACTTAGAGATCCTAAGTTTTCTTCTTGGCACTGTATCTTTTCATATTAATTTAAAATGAAGGATTTTTTAAAAATCCCACAGTGTAGGAAACAGAGCAAAATGTGAATAGCTCTCACATGAATGATTCCCCAGCTCATTTCTGTATTTCAATTGTTTTAGTTACATTATTCTTACAGAATATATGCTGTAATATATATTTTATATATAAATTAGAAAGAAATATAATTTATAAGAAATATAAATAATATATTATATATATAAATTAGAAAGAAAACTTTTGAATTAAAACAGTGCTTTTTATGGTCAATTATCTAAAGGCATTCTTGAAAATATTAGATTTTGCCTCTTGTCTGTCACTGAAAATACCTCCTAATCAAGGTTTCCAAGCTGAACGAGAAGTTCTCAGAGAACATCAACTAGCAAAGGGGCTCGCAGGCAGCTTCCTGTTTGGCAGACAGACTTCCGTCTGTCAACACCTTTCTCTTCCAAAATAGTACTTTTCACTTTTTACACTTTCTGCAATCAGGGATGGGTGGTGGCTGTGTCTCCTGCTTTAGAATTTATTTGAGGGGCTCAGGAGCAAAGGGCTTGACCTTCCCTTTCCTTGTGCACCTGCAAAGCAACAGAATAAAAATAATACCTGGCCTGCGAGGGGCTGGGAGGAGGGAAGCGAGGTGTGCAGGTGTATGGATGCCATGGGAGCTGGCTTTCCATGTGGCACTTACTACAGGCCTACCATCCTTTCCTTCTACAAAACCTTGCTCGACCTCTGTCAGGGCCCTGGGCCACTCACTTGTGGCAGGGCCGTGAGTATGACTTTCTGGAAGGAGACTATCAAGGTGTACTACCTGGAGCAGGGAAACCACGTGTCACACCTTGACCCACAGCTCCCATCACAGATGGTGGGTGCTAACATGGGCTGCTGCAGAGCTCTCCACAGTTTGGGGGCTTTCACTTTTCTCCACGACTGGGAGAGGTCACTGTGGTCACGACTCGTGTGCCCTCCTTCTGTGCAGGTGAGGAGGGCTCCGGCCAGCGTGGCCAGCCCTAGGGTGCTGTGCACGTGCCCTTCGCAGCGACCATGCGGGTGCCGCAGGCTTCCTCCCTCGAGGAGCGGCTACCTCAGTTTGGGGCCCGTGACCCCGTGACCCCGCGGCATGCCTTGTCCACGGCGACGCCATCTTGGCGGGTGGCCGCGTGGCTCGGCCGTCGCGCCGGCCTGCTGTGGCGGGCCGGGCCTCCCCAACGCTGCCCGGGCATACCTGAGTCCAGCCTGCCGCCAGTACGCCACCATGGTGTCGCGAGCGGGGCGTGTCGGGCAGAACCGCTGGGTCGCTTCAGAGTCGCCTCAGACGGGACCGGCCGCAGGAAGGTCAGGCCGCTTGAAAAGCGGAAGGGGTGGGGCGCGGACCCGCCAGTCACTGCCTCACCCCGCCCTTGTCAGGGTCGGGAGCCAATAGGGGCACCGGGCGCGCACGCCCATTGGCCGA